AAAATATAATTATTCTATACTTCGAACTTTATAATTATCGATTTAATGGTAAACTGGGAATGAAAAATTTCAATTTTTTATGTCTCATATTGGTTAAGTATTAATTAATTAAATGTCTTTGATTGGTTTGCAAAAATTCAATTTGGCATTGAAAACCTTTGACCGGGAGTGTGTATCCAACATGTTGACGATAATATACAGTACTTGGAACTCTTTTAAAAGATATTATTTTATCAAAGCTTACTCATCCTCCGATCTTTTCTATTTTTTTTACCTTCTTCTCAACATCATCATCGTCTCAGTCGTCTTGGAATTCTGAGCACGCGCGAGTGTATGTTAACGACGATGTCTCTTTGCAGACGATTTGATTGTCAAGATAAACATTCTTCAATATTAACTGTCATGATACATATTTTAATAGGCAAATGTGAATTATTTATTTTCTTTCTTTATTTTGGCAACAGTTATTATTTTTTTTTTCAAATTAAATGTGTGCATGTATAAATAAAAGCTGTCTCTAAATATTTTTATTTCATTTTTTCTTTGATAAAGATTGAATCTAATTATAAACTGAGCAAGAATTTCAATGAGAAGAATTGCGTAGTAGCATTTATACCCATCATCTTTTTTAATAACACGATGCAACTGCTTTCCCCCTATCTGCCAACTGCCATTCCATTGGGTTCTCTGCGCGATTCAACCTGGTGTGGGCGAGCCAGGCCGCAGATCTCCACTTGACCTGCGCCTTGACGATATATTTATCTACCTAACTAAGGTCTGCGGTGTCAACACGAGTCAACAGTGGTCAATAAGCGATCAAGTGGTACCCGCGGCCCACACCAATCATTAAGTTTCCCGCGATCTAAACGTGGAAACCATCAGTAAAAACTCTACCGCATTCTTCTAATCTAATTATTCGTCTTCCGGTCTTTCATTCTTTTCTATTTCTCATTTTAGTTGATCCTTTTTGCTTAAAATTGAATGTAAAATTCAATTTGCTAATGAATTTTTATTGAATACATCCAATACCATTTTTTCTGTTCTAAAAAACAATTTTATTTTAAAAATAAAATATAAAAAGACACTCTTTATAATTTTAATTAAATAAAAAGTGTCTTTTTAATCAATATTAAAAAAATTAATATAACATATTAACTAAAAATACAATGAAGGGATTTATATTTCAAAAATATTAGTTGTAAAAATTAGTGAATAATCATTGATTTCTGTTTGATAAATAAATCTTTAAATATTAAAAAAAAATCATGGATCACTTGACCAAATGTATAACTTGACAGAATGTCTTTTAACTCGACCCTGTGGCTCTTCGTGTCAGCGGTTCATATTAATTTATTCGAATTAATCATGACCATCATCCGCGAGTCGCAACCCTTCTCCAGCTAGCACGGATTTATTGAATCAGTCGATTAAACAGGACTGTACCGCAGGGCTTGTGTCATCTCCATTCTCAACTCATCTTCCCTTTATATATTTTTTTGTTCAACTTCGTTTTCTCTCCTTCACATATAGCTTGCACTGATCAGCTTCTCTTTCAATGGGGGCGATGATAATGGGACGATCAGATTATTCTACGAGAGATTCTCGCCTGGGAATTGATATCTCGATTGTCCTGGAAGAAAAAAAAAATAATTCGAGTACATGATGACGATATATAACAACCAATTGGCTGGTTGCTTTTGTATTTATCATTGAGTATTTGATAGATCTATCTTACAGAAAAAATATATTATTAAATTCTTTAAGCTTACCATACAGGTTCTGATCCATTAGTTATTTATACTTCAAGTACAAAGGAGTTGATCAGATCGATATAAAAGCATAAAGTTGTACCTAAAGATCCATACGTGCTTAGAAAATTATTTACCGATCTCTTTGTTATCTAGCTACTACGATCGCAAGCCACTCAAACCCAATTATATCCTCTCCGAAATAAACATAAATAAATTAGTGGTAATGTGACGGTCATTTTTCCGGTATATTTTTATTTACCCATCTTTTTTAGTGGCTGTTGTCCCAACAGAAAATTTTTTTATAATTAATAAAGTATATAATAATAGGTAGTAATAGATAATAATGTCGGCAAACCATCACAATACCGTGGTATTTAATTCATAGCATTTTGCATAGTTTATTAGAAAGAAACACGCAAGAGTCAGGTTAAAAGGCGTATTGAAAGCGGAAGCGAACAACGACCGAGCAAAGACAGAGGGTTCTGATCACAGCTGTGATGTCTCACGACCCCATCATGTTTCTATCAATCATTCATCGACATACGAATGCTTTTTATTACACAGGTCACGAAATTGGTCTGCTTTTTTTGTTGCTTAGACTATCAAAATATGTGTTTAAATCTATTATACTGTATAATTATTCGAATATTAATACTCTAATATAAATACAAACATTTGAATATTTATCAAAAACAAAATAATTTTTTTTTAAATATAGGGAAAAGTGGGGGAAAATTTAAATAAAATAGTGGAATTGTATAGCAAGTATAAACTAATCATTTAGAATATTTATTTTCCCTATTTAGGAAAACTTTACCTGATTAATATTCTTGATTGCTTTGAAACTAATTAGAGTATTTTTGTGATTTTTAAAATTCCAATTGCTTCTCTGAATATCAATAGAAAGCCTGGATCCAAGTGTTCTTTCTAAAATCAAAGTGAATGATGATAATTCAAACTTGACAACTAATTGGTAAGAATAAAAAATATTTAATCATTATCTTGATCAATGAATGATTAAAAATAAAAAAGGATTATATAGTCGGTAGAAAACGTGTTTTCTCTGTGCGCTTATTTACCGGCTGGACGTCGCATTACCGTCGGCTTAAGATCTAGACTGCTGAGCACCAAAGCCGAATACTGATGTTGATGAGAATCCTCCAAGAATTCATCCGGAGAATTAGTCAAGCCCTTTGCGAAAATACGCGTACATTAAACGTTTAGACATATTCACATTTTTTGACAAGTCATGTTTCAAAGTTTCTTTTGCTAATTAAAAATAATTGGATCTTAGGAGGATCAAATAAATAAATAAATAATGACAAACGAATGTCTTAAATGTCCAACATCTAGAGTAATATCGTCTCAGAGGTTTTTTGTCATCGAGAAAAATTGGTAGACAAATATCAGATTTAGTTTTCTTAGAGTAATCCTAAGTCCTAAAGGCGGAAATCAAACAAGATGATAAAATCAACAAAATGATTACTTGATTGTCGGTTAAATTTCTTTTCGAACGTGGGAAATGTATTAATCTTATTTCAGATATCGCTCAATAAATCATTTTGAAATATTTTTGAATATAAAAATGGGTGGTGCAACAGATGAATAATAGTTAGATGTCAATTGGAGTATTAATCGATATTTTAAATCAATAAAACATCAATCTTTTCTTTAAATTTAATTTTATTTATTTACCAACAAATTTTAATTTAAAAAAATACCAAGGTTTCTTAATATTTTATCATTAATATTATTAATTAACAATGTTAATGATAATAATAAATAATAACAATATTAATGATGTTGATTATTCAGTTGTTGAAAGAAGGCTAAAGGAGGACAATAAAATGTTGACAACCAAATAATTTTCAACCTTTTATTCAACCAAAAAAGAAAGCAAAAGATTTAGCATTGTATCAAGAAGACAAATTCCATATTCCAAAACAACTGTATTAGTAGTATTGTCAACAGTTGTCATTCCTAAAATTTGTTACAAAAACTTCTTGTTTTAACTAATCACCTTAATCTATTGTCACTTTGTCACATTTATCCCATCCGAAAAATAGATTTCCATTAGAACAATGTTTATCATAGAACTTATTATTTCCTAATAAGCCAGTTGTTACTTAAGAGATATTTCAGCTTTGCGGACTAATTCTTTTCCAATGACCAAAAAAGGAACTATCTTCTAACTAAACATTTATCTTTTTCATAATCCAGGTCTTCTTCCAATATCTCTGGACAAAGGGTTAAAAATCTATCAAACGTTTCCCATAACATCTTCATTGTGTCTCCACCACACTCTAGAGCAGCATAAAAAAATTTTCCGCACGACATAATGCCTGGATGTCCAGCACAAAATCCTATCTAACATCTATATCCGGAAATTTGCTCGAGTATTTTTAAAGGATCATCGAGAGAGCAAACAGCGCGACACGGTAGCAACCTTCACCATCACCCAGAGTTATTTTTCTTGCTATTCTTCTTTTGGAAAATAAGCTACCACTCGATGTATCAATACCGATGAATACGACAATCCAAATATTTGCTAGTCAGATTAGTCACTCGTTCCAGCCATCTCTTTCTACATTTCCTCGTGTTTCATTCCTTGATCCTTCCCCACATACAGATATATTTGGTTGTATCGCCTTCTATTCATTCTCCCTCATCACATCTGTCTAAAAGTTATGTATTTGTCGTCTACTTTATTTCATCATCGACCACCATCAAACTCTTTCCGATTAGCTGGTGGATATAATAGCCAGCAATCTTAGCAAGTGATCTTATTTCGGCGTGAAAGCCGAGCTGATCCAGGTGACTGTTAATCATCATTTTTCCCTCTTTTTATTTTTCATTGATATGTCCTTGATGTTTTCACCGTGCTATTAAATTTTTGTTGCTTCAATTTTCGGCATAGACTCTAGACATCAATGGGATTTAAAATAGTTGGTGACCGATCGAGCGTTCTGTGGCTTAAACGATTTGCGATTACAAGGGATAAAAAAAAAGAGTAGAAAAAACAGCTTCCTCTTGACTTGATGCTCTTGCGGCATCCTAATGCTCGTCGGCAGAAGAAGAAGAAGTAAAAGGATAACATTTGCGTCATTCTTCGAAAATAGATATTCATTATAGAAAATCGGTCATTTAAATGAGATTATCTATTAGACAAATTTGATGGACATTCAGATATTTTGCAATACTAAATAACGTATTCATTTATGATGTATGTGGTTTCTATACTTCTTTCAGGCTATAGTCAGCGGTTGGCTAATTCCAAAGCGGATACTACAACGTCAACAGCTGTCACTGTTTGTTGGTTTGCGCGAGGGATTACTTGAAAATAGATCAAGGGGAGCAATCCTAGTATCGTCGACGATCATGAAATGTTACGCTGAAGATAATCCGTATTAATGATTGTTCTGGGGTAAGTACAATTCTTGATTTGATAATTTCTTTTCACAATAAAAACCTGCATAAATTTCACCAGTACCTTAGTTTAGACTCTCTATTTTTATTTTGACAGATGATTGACAAAATCATTCAATTACATCTTAAAAAAAAAATGGGACTAGACGCATTTTGTGCTTCCCATTTATTGAAATCTGTAATTTATAACGAATTGCTATTGTTATAAATAATATACAGTTGTTTAACCACACCAAATTTATAACATAACAATATTTAATAAATTTTTACCGAATTTAATCACAGTCATAATGATTCAATTAATTAAAGAGGACAAAGTTTTCTAACAAATTCAATTTGTTTGCCAGTCAAATAATGTGGATCATAATAAACTTTTCATAATAAGTCTATAATTTAAATTGATAATAAAAAAGTCATGCTGAATTTCAATCTCCAATCATCAGAATACGTTGATGATATCGTCAGCTATATATATTATTATTTATTTATCAAAAGAGTTTGGAATACATCTACAATATAATTTGACCCAAGTTGAGGGTGGACACAATGTACAAAAGAATATACTACAAGTAAATTCAGTAACAATATATAATTTAACCAATTTGTCATTTTATCATTTTTACTGTACGACATAATATTTCAATATTATACTTCAAGTTGGGGAAGCTTTTGAAAGTTTGAATAAAATTATTTCAAAACGGCTGAAAAAAACAGAATCTCCAGAAATAACTGAACAATTTAATTGTCAGCAGAATAGCAAGACAGTAACCAAGATGATGACATTAGATAATTTTTACTCTTCTATTTTACTCGAAAGGATGCAGTGAAGCGGGATCATATTCCATATCAAGGTTTCACTTGAAGGGTTAAGCACACTTTCCAGTGTCTCTGTTGTTTGCCACGCTAAGAGTGGTATACAACTTCCGGATTGGCACAAGCCAGAGGACTCTAGAGAGCCTGCTGCTAGAGATACTCGTTACTTTACTCCACTTAAGCACGTGGTAAGCCAATGAAGAACTTAGCCAAGGATTTGTTACTTCCACCATGATGATGGAGTCTATGCTGATCCTGAAACAAGATCACTTCGTCAAAATGTCTACTCTTCTCTCCTTCAGTCTATAAAATAATACTTAGCAACGCCTTTCTTCATGTCGAAGAATTGAGAGACACATGAACTGGTGAAGAACAAAAGGTTGATGGGCAACATGGGTTTCCTTGAGTTCGTCTTTGTCAAACTTTTTGTCAAGTAATGTATCAATGCAGCTTAGAATACAATAGGAATTAAAGCTATTGCAGTGTCATGGTAATTTTAGTCAGTGTTTTTAATACTAGAAATAATTTGGACAATTTGAAACAAGCGATTAGAATCTTTAAACAGTTGTAAAGTGAACTTGGAAGATCTAAACAGCATCAGAATCTTGATGAATCATTGATGTTGAAGATGATCAAAATCTCCAGTATTTTTTTACATCCAGGTATTAGAAAACTAAAGCAGGTAGTAATAATTATCCTAAATTGAAACCTAGACCATCAGGATCAATGTTTTTGTCTCAAAGATGACTGGTCTTCCAATGATATCAGCTGATGCTATCGAAAGATTGTCAGCTAATTAGCACTTTGTAATAGAAAACAAATGAATTGTCTAAGTGGATCAGTTGATAAAAAATGAAAAGATCATCATCATCATCTTGGTATCAAAACAACTTGTCTTTTATCATTTAGGATTATTTATAAGCTTCAATATTAATAGTTCAACTCTAGCTGATATATTTGTAGTAGAATGTAAATATACAAGAAATGAGAAAGAATAATATTTAGATATTTTTAATTGAAGATATATATTTTTACTAAGAAAAACGACGGTTCCTTCAAACGAAATCACTCATGTTTTCTCTGTGCACGTGTCGTAGAAATCTTAGTAGTGATGTTGGACCTGAAAAAATAATAGAATTCTAATTATGTAAATCCCAATATTAGGCACTCGTCGTGCGACAATAGTTATAACTATAACAAGAAGACTGAAAGAAATATATAGAGTTGGATTGGTTAAATAGAAACCAACCATTAGTTGCGTTATCAAAATACTCGACTGAAACGTGCTTGAAGCACGTACGAGCACCATAATCCCTACAAAACGACCCGGAATCAAAATGGTTTTGGAAAACTGAATATATTTTGTAGCATTTGGGACTTGAGAATGATTTTAAAATGACAAACAAAACTGTTCGTGACATCATCGAGCATTTTGTCAAAATATTTTCCTATTATTTTAGATTTATTACTAATTTTTTGTTCATCAACACTCAAGAGCCAAAGATTGGCTGGGTACTTTTTTATTACAACCATGTCTTTCAGAACATGATAAAAATGTCATGATGTAAAGCAAACAAGTTTTGAGTGAATAAAAAGAATTAAATGATCAATTTGATTGAGGTGATGGTTGATATTTATTTTTCAACGATAGTTGGTGATTCATCAACGGATATTATCACCCGGATAATCCACTAGCAAGCATGATGTTACGCCTCTTGGATAACGAGTTACACGGTGCTTGAAATAGGGGTCGAGAATTATCTAGTCATCCTTATACGATCATGAGCTCTAGACACGCGATCGCAGTAATTTCTATTTCCATTAATGAAAAAATCATTATGTTCTGCTACCGAGTTTTATATCAAGTGTTTCTTATTACAAACAACATTTAAATAAATTCCTACGTTGTTTTGTTCGACTTTTTTGTCGTGATAGATTTAATAAAACTACGACACAAATAAAATACTGATTACGCTGTTAAATAAATGGTCTCATATTAAATATTAATTCTAACTGAAGAAATAACATATATTTATCGAGGATATTAAGTCGAATTATTAATAATAATAAATGTAAATTTACATGACCATTTTACGAAGCAAGACAGTTTGTTGTAATCAACATTGATGCGATGAACAATTTGAGAGAAATCGTCACGCAACTGTGAGACATATGACAGGTGATGCTCATTCAATTTTTATCAGGTTTTAATTAAAAGCTTGCATCAAGTAGGGTTATTAATTAGGAATGTAATTAGAGTACTTTCCCGAAATGAAATAATTATATGCATATATTCAAATGAATGACAATTATATCTTTTTTAAAACTTGATATTTATTAACCGCTGGTCAAATAAAATGAAAGAATTATCAAGTTGTCTCAAGTTTTTATGGCTGTTGATGTACTTAGTATGGGTCATTAAGATACTTATCTTTATTTATGGATTTCAATTAATTAATACAAATGAATTCCATGTGCACATGATAATTGTTTTATACACAAATAATTTGGAATAAAAACTAGACCTCTTCTTGGTAGATCAGGACGTCAAATAGGAGTTGGAGATAGATGAGGTTCTGAAGAGGTTATCGTAAAGGTCATTTTGATACCTTCATTTCTTTAATAATTTATCAAAACTTTAATGATTATTAATAAAATAGTAGGGAATGAAGAGGATTATTTTGGATACATGATAAAGATGGTTGGAGCGAGTTAAAAATATTTGAGGGCATTTCGTGAAGTTGTAACTCCAATTACGCAGCGTGTAAAGGGCAATCTTATTTGCATAACGGGTCGCAAACCTCCGGGAAGCGATATCTCCATTACAAACTCGCGGGGGCTGTAGATCAGTCGTCGAACCCGCGGGATATTTATTAAGGGCGGTGTGACAGCCGAAAGGTGAGCCTGGAGCCATACATGTGCTTGGTATATAAAATGAGCATTGAAGTGAGATACATAGGAGAATCGAACAGTTAATATGAGAATCGCACTTCTCAACCCTCACTACAGGAGGTCGTCCAGCTTCGTTCCTTATGACGTCATTTATCCTCCAACTTTGAATGTATCGCGTGCTGTTCTTTCTAATTGCAAACAGATTTATAGAGTGAAAAATTTCTTTTAGAAATTATAACGCCTTCGTTGTCATATATATCCAAAGTGTATATGTATAAGTAAGTTGGCCAAAGTCACGACGATAAACAAGAAAAATGTTTATTTTTATTTTTGCTAATTTTTTTCGATCTTTTTTGGTTAAAAAATGGCTAAATAAAATGAAATTGATTGGAGATAAAATTTATTTGCTCGCAACGATATCTTTGATGAGGGAGAATTCGATACCTGAAGAAGGGCTGGCAAGTTGTAAGAAGTAGACACAGATACGTGAGATGAAAAGAAGACAAAGAATATAAGATGAGAAGGAGGGACAAGCATTAGCGTCTTTGATGTGCCGCGGGATATCCTTTGGCATGTCTTCTCTCCATACCGCGACTCATAGCTTGTCACTCGGGGTTCGCGCGATTGAGCTATCGAACTGTGTAACTGGATGTCTTACTTTTTATTATAAAGCTCTTCTCTCACATTCCCGGGATCGCATTCCCCAAGACATAAACCCCTTATACACTGGCTTGCAATAACCAAGTTTGAAATTACAAGCATGAATGTCTTCTTTTTAATCATCAACTTTCAGGATACTTCTCCATCATTCGCATCGTTCTAATTTTACGAAAAATTTGCTTCAAAAAAATTGATCGTTTTTATGACATATCTTACACCATATATAAACGATTACTTATCAAGTTAAAATTAATTCTATTTTATTTATAAAAATATTTCGTTAAATAAAATAATTGGAATTTTTTTAACTTGCCATCAAGAAGTTATTATCATGGATTTAATTTTTAATATTCATATTTATTAATTAATATTGTTATGTTATAAATAATTTGATATGATTGAATAATTATATATTGTTTATAACAATAGCAATTCATTGTAAATAAAAAAATATAGGAATTTTTTTTTTTCTTATTGATGTCATTTTAGAAGATCAATTAGTCAAAATGATTTGAGGTTTAAAACTCGACAAATGATTTTTAGTTCCGGTGGGGCCGGAAATACGATCCGATCGCATGGCTCAATTTCACATGTGTCCACTCAACCGATTTTATCTAGAAAATTTCAGATTTTTCGGTTCGATCGTTTTGCAGGACGTAATCGAGTTTGCCAGACTGATAGATATCCGAACAGAGCTACAACTGTGCCAGAAGTATTTTTTTTAATTTTAGATGTTCTAAAATACGGAGGTTCAATACACTATTATCTTCCATCATCAATAATAAATACTAATTAATATAAATAATTAATTAACACGAATTATTAATTATAATTAAAAATTTTGATCTTTATAAAAAAATTTAATTATTAAAAATATTATTATTTTTCCTTTAAATAAATTTCTGAGTAAAAAGACTTAGATTAAGGTCCCAGTCACTAGATAGACAGGTAATGAAATGATAATTGGGTCGTAATAAATTAATTTGCCAACAATAGTTGTAGGGCAAAACAAAAAATAAAAACACACGAGTGGAATTGAATGGAATTCTGCTCAAGCAAGGTCAGATAAATATGTATGTGTGTCGAGGGTGAATCTCGAGAGAGTAAAGCGATATAGTCGTGATTATTTACTGAGGGGAGACCGCTGGTGCTGCTTCATTCGTCCTGAAAGACTGAAAGACGTGGCCGGACGCCGCCACGTACGACAGGGATATAAAGTTACCTCGTGGGAAAGACGCGTACGTCTTATTATGGCTTGTTTTGAGCTTTACCAACTCTTTGGTACTATAATTACACGGTTATTGATAAGTCGATCAGGTTACCCCACACAGCCCGCAACGGTACCACGTGAGTTGCTTGCCCTTCTCTTTACTCCTTCTGCACCATTCTGTACCTTTATGTCTCTTGTCTGCAGAACAATGTTTTCTAAGACTCCATGGACTTTCTTATAATGAGTATGAAAGGCATTCAGACCAAACCACCTTTTTATGAATTTTTATTAATTATTGCAGTCAATTGGATTTGAGTAAACTTTGAAATTTCTATTTTTATATGTCAACTATCAAGATAAAATTTTAATATGTTTTTAAAATGAATTTCAAACTATTTTTCATCTATAGACACTTTAAATTTTTTATTAATGATTTAAAAAAAATATAATTAAAGCTAAAATGATACTTTAAAGTTATAAAATTTAAACCGAAGACAATTCTAATAAATAATTTTTTTTTATTAATCGGAAAAAGTGATGTTAGAAAGAAGAAGAATTTGAAAGTTTATACCTAAAATTGATGGACCATCTGTTCCCTATAATCTCTCAAAATAATTTTAAAAAATTTTTCTTCCAACAGAATCGATTTTTCTTCACCCTTTGTTTTCAATTATCACAACTCAATTAAAGTTGACCACAATATTTTCTTATGAAAGCATATCTGACTATCTTTACGGTATTATCGAAGTAAAATCATTTTTAAAAGCCATCAAAAATAATTACAAAGGCTTCTGAAAGTAAAGATCCAACGAAAATTCCATTTTTCATTTCCAAGACCTTTTTTCTTTGATTCTTAGCGGCATATTAAGAATATATTATAATTACCGAGTGATTTGGATGTGGGTAATATTAAGAATTGAACTAATTTGTCAGAATTATTCATTAGAAATAAAGAATATTAAAAAAAAAAAAAAATAATTATCAAATCATGGCGTAAATTAGACTAAATCAAAGAACGTTGTTCTATTGAATAGCACCAAGTGCTTGGCAAACAAAAGAAGAATACTAAAAAGACGTAAGCATTTCTCATATGAGAGTATAAAGAACGTCCAAATGCTTTGTCTACTAAATGGATTCCTCATTCCCGTTGTTGCGGCGTGAAACGAAGCCGCTCGCTTTGTTTCTACGTCCTGGACAGAGAAAGATGTATATATATTATATATAGATAGACATATATATATATATATGTGAATATACCGTCATCATTCGATAAATCGATAGTGCTATTAACAAATTGAATTGTACAATAGAAGTTCAGAACATTTATGAGCCAATCTCATTTGTATGTACAAGTGTGGCACATTATCTTTGACATTTATCTCTCAACGTCTTAAATCAAAATTCATTTGAGGGTTCGATGTACTGTTAAGATATCAATGTGCCTGATCGACGCCCTTTTACGCTTTGTATCGATCCACTTGATCGATCGATCGATTACAATAATCTCTACTTCAAATATCAACAATTCAATCTGAAATCTTAATCAATTATATAGGCTGTATCAATCCTTACACTGTTATTTTACATCACTAAATTCATTTGGATTTTAATAGATCATTTTATCATCTTGATTGAGAGTCAATCTTTATCTAGAGATTGCGACAAATGTGCTCCAAAAAATTATTTTTAATACAAATTTATATTAATACAAATTAATTTTTTTTCTAAGTAATAAAGTGTTTATTTTATTTTTATAATATTCTGTCATTACACAGTCAATCTTAATTTTATTGGATAAAAATTATTGAAATATTATAATGACAAATTAAATCTATTTTACCAACAGATGGTTCCTTTGTAGTAACGTCGGACTTTTCTTCTATTGAACGGGGAGTAAAATCGTATTGCTTCTCTAATAAGGGATGATTTATTTGGATAAATTATTCGAAATCATGTTTTTAATCTGATAAGAAGGAAAACATTGAAAGATGCTAATTAAAATTCAGAAGAAATGAATATCATTAAATAATACTATTTTTCTAAATTTCTTTTCCTAATCTAAATTAAAATCCAATAAATAATCTTCCTTTGTTTCAACCTATTTTTAAAAATCCGTGTTTTTTTTTTTAGGTAAAAGCAGTCATCATGTCATCTCGAAAACTTTCACTGGAGTTCAAAGATATGTGAGGATCTCAGGTGACTCGATAGAGGAGCAAACAAATATGCAAAATGAAAGATACCCTCTAGGAATGATCGATGTCTAGAGTTGGGCCACCGTTGGGCGACTCATGGTAAGTTTCCAAAACTGAGTTTCTAATGTGATCAGCTTTAGTGTAGGATTGTCTAGTCGCACAAGTATGCCAACCGCTTGACATGGGAAGTCTATACCTCATCATACTAGAGCTTCGTGATCTTGAAGGTGAAAATGCGACGCTTTTTCTTCCTACTCATATGGTTCGTTATGTCGTGGACTCGAGAAAGCAACCGGGATAATTAATGGATCGAAAAAAACATCACCGCCCGCAGAGAAAGATCATTGTTTAAAGATTCAGGTAGTCAGGAATAAAAAGCCTTCAATGATGGCTCCACCAGCCTTATAACTCTCTAGCTACCTCACTCTCTTCAACTCTTTTACCATTTATCAAAGCAGCCGCAAAGATCCACTCCAATGTCTGTTATAGTCTTGCAAAATCAATATTGTGACGTTTATTTTGCCTCTGAGGAAACAGTATTTTTATAAGCAAATTATTCTTTTATTTATTATTATTACTTTCCAGGTCATTGGATAAATTTTTAAATCAAGATATGATATTTTAATTAATTAATTTATTTATTGTGATTATTTAATATTTTTCATTTAATTTTATCTGCATTTCTAATCATCAGTTTGGTTCTAATTCAATAACTTTGTTTTTATAAATATTATATTACAAATCTGATAAGACATAAAGTTTAAGTTGAAACAAAAAAATAAGATGAAAATAATTCCAAGTGGTTTGACAGCATTTACATTTTCATAAGTTCATACATTGACAGACAGTCTAGGCATTTAAAAAGTTGTAATGAGAGCAGAAATAAATTGCTTGGATTACATAAGTCAGATTTTTTTTGAAATAGTTTTTGTGGTCATGTCATTGTGATTTAATCAGTGAATTATATAATTCTGAGTACATCAGAGACTATATTTATAGTATCAATAGCAATGCGTAACAGAAAAAATTTTTTTTAAAATAAAATGTCTTTATTATTCATCAATATTGCTTTTAAAAAAAATAAATAATTTTTTAAAGAAAATTGCCTCCTGGCAATCTATTTGTCATGAACTGTCAATGCTGACAAATCAAAATGCAGAATAAATTCTTAAAAAGCACATTAAAAAATTTTATTCGAATTAAATCATGCTTTAATGAAAGAAATTGATAGAAAATATGATTCAATAAAAAAATATGAGAGTAATTGGCCATCATTGGGATTAGTGAAGCAAATATATCTTTTTCATTGTGACAGTTGCTCTTAGAAAGCAGCAGTGCCACTTGTCAGGGTTGTCCACGAAATAAACACACACGTCACGCAGTGCGGCACTGCAGGGTTTTAAGCAACAGGAATATATAAAAGAGCGGACATTGAGCGATCAGGTGTCGGCACGTTTGACACCTCTCTCATAGAAGTTTGTTCATGCACACTATTCACTTGTATTCCACATGATTCTATGCTTTAGTCTCACCTAAATACATCAATTCACTGTCGGCTTTTTCCGCCGTATACTCTTCCGATGAAATTTTTTATTTTTTTGCGTCAGTTTCAGTAGCAAACTGTACAAAGAGATGTTAGTGTGTCACCACGGGGGTATATAGAAATAACAATGATGGCAATGATGGCTTTTTTAGCTTTTTCTGTTAGAAAATGACCGATAAAGAGGCACAGAAAAGTGAGATGTATCTTGGCTGAAGAATTTCTGCGGTACGGAGAAAGAAGAGAGTATGTGTGGGGGTTGAAGCTGTAGATGAAAGGAACCGACGCCTTGTGCTCCCACGCCTCTGCTGCTTTGTCTGACAATAGATGACGCCTTGTGATTCCCGATCCCTTGAACTTGACTAAGAGAAAGAGTGAGAAAAATGTAAGAGAATCTGTCGGCCACCCGCTGTCCAAGTTGTGACTTCATTTAGCGCAACCCTGCTAGCTCTTCTGCTCCAATACCTCCAACTACCTTTTCTCTTGCTCCACCATGTCAATCCCTATTTTCCTCTTTTTCTCGACCTTTTTTCGCTCCAAGACCAGCCATCTAGCCTCCTGTTTCTTCAAAACCTTTCGAAGAAAATTAAAGACCGAGGAAAGTTTGAATTTGGGAAACAAGAGACTTCTTGGTAACACTAAATGGTCTAACTTGTTTTTTTCTGCTCCAAACACTAGACTACTAATCTTCTAATGATTGTTGAAGACCAGACAAATAAATTCAATTTATTTTCATGAACACTTGGCAAAAGTTGTTCAACAAAAGTTGATTCTATCAAACAATGCTCTTTGATGCTTGATGGATAGCATCACTTTGATGATACATAGAAATGATTGGTAACTTACACTGGTATAATGTTGATTGCAACACAAGATCTAAATAATTGTCATATTTTACTCTGAAACAACATAAAAAAAATCGATAATCGCATTGTCAAACAATAAATCATCAACAGATAATCTGAGGGAAAGATATTCTGTAAAAAATATGTTAGATATTACTCAGCATTAAAGACACCTCGAGTTCTATAAATCACAAATGATTTGATGTAAAATGACAAGGAAGTAGCTAGGACTGCAGTCTATCTAAGTCGTAGACAGATCTTGAAGATTGTCGAAGAGAGATTGATCTCTGGATGCCATGAATTTTTTATTTCACTTCTCGATGGCTTATGTCAAGTATCTAAAGCCATGCATCTTTGCGGGGCGTCCAGGTGTTCGATTATTCCCCGCAGCGATTTAAGCAACCAGAAAAGTTTATCTGTTTTATCAACAATTCAAATGACATGCCACTAAAGCCTTTCGCTTCGTGAGCTAGCTTACTTTATAGCTGTATTCACACCAATGCCACCACGCGGAAGAAATAAATTCATTGGTATACTTATAATCCTGCACTACACCACGATCCCAATGACTTGACATATCTCTACATGTTCTTAGAACTCAAGTACAATTGATAGCCATACATCACCTGTTATGAGCATAGACATTATTTTATCATTTTGATAGTTTCCTGATGAAAACATTTCTAACATTTTTTTTTTTAATTTATTCAATTTATTAAATATCTTCATAGTCATATTGGATACATTTTTTATTATTTTCTCTATCAACTTAACATTATTCATAATTTGTTAGCAGATATTATGATGACAAATTTTTATTTGATCAACCTAGAGAGTACATTCTATCATCATGACTCTTTCTAGCATCCAAGATAAAAAATTGTGTTCTCAAATAAATTCAACTGGAAAATATTCTTCTTGATTGATGTTATCAACTTTAATTTCACAATTTTTTGATAAAGTTTGCAATAAATAATTTTTTTAGTTTATCAGAACATTTTTATTTTGTCAGATGATGATGGTTAATCTTGGAAGCTTTCTGAATTGTTCGATATTCATCATTTTGAAGTCCATGCATCTATCAAACATTTGTCAATATTTTCTTGAGTTAAATTCATCATCCTACAACATTTTTTCATCATTAAAATTTTCTCAAGAAGAGATAGTTGCCAGCTACATTGCAATAAGGATGATTCAACACCATTGAAGGTAAAAAGACTGATGAAATTAATTTTTTATCCAGTTATTGAAATACCAGAAACCTGGTCATA